GTGCCGCCGCGGCCCTGCGTGCGCAGGTTGAGCACGAGCCGGCAGCAGAGCACTTGCGAGAGGATGAGCGCAAGGAAGCCTGGGGGATGCACCCTTAGCAGTCTGCCGAGAGAGCATCAGTGCGGAAGGGAAGGACAGACGTACTGTTGATGTTTTGGATGTTGACGTTCGATTGGAACATGAAGATCGCGTTAAGGACGTTGACCGCGGCGACCAGGATGAAGTAGAAGAGGCCTTCGCTCACGAACAGCTTCACGAGCTGTGAGCTGCGCGTTTGCAGCGTGGCAGCCTGTACAGTCAACCGAGACGTGAGCCGGAGTCGGCGGAGAGCACGGCGTTGCGGCGCACCTTCCAGAGGGTAAGGAACGTGCAAATTAGGTCAAATGCCACCGGCGCGAGCCAGAAGCCGGAGACGACGTGCTTCCCAGGCGCGTCGCTCGCCGTGCACGGGCCCTTGGTGACAATCGGCAGGACGGTCTGGTGCACGCCGGCGATGGAGACATAGAGTAGGAAAGCGGTCTCGCCGATAAGCATGGTAATCATCATGGCTGCGGTCCACATTTTGCGGCCGAGGAACGCATAGGTACGCATGGCAAGGATTGCCTCTGTGTTCTCACATGTCAATCGCAAGCATATAGGCACTCGCCGCGAAACGTGCCTACCGGATCCGAGCGTGACCCACATACATGTTGCGGCAATGATGTAGTGGAGGGGCTTGCACTGATCGGCGGTGAAGTTGGCATTGAAAAGCCAAAGATTCAAAGCGAACGCAACGAGGCCTTCCGAACAGTCAACACCACGCTGAACAGAGGCAGCAGTGATGTACCCACCGTAATACCTTGTCCAGAGGTACAGGACCTTGACCGGAGACCAGCGGGCTGTCCAGATCACATCCCACTCCGCTGAACTTCGATGGTTAACAGCCGAACAGAAGGCAGTCTGGACCCACATACTCTTCAAGCAGCACAACCAGTCCCAGACAGACACGGCCATCTAAACGAGATACTGTAATCAGCTTCGAGCGCCGCACCTATCTAATCAGAGCAAAGAGACGCGCCATGCAAGACGTGTACACCTGCAGCACATGGAGGAGCCCGAACGCGGTCGCGATAGTGTCCGTCGTGACCGGGTCGGCACCGAGCGACGCTGCCGCAATGTAGTTCACCTCGTACATGCCCGACATCTTGGCGGTAGGACGTGCAGTGCACCGGTGGAGGGGGACAGGGAGTGAGACCGGGATGAGGAGGGAGGGTGTGGGGGATTAAAGCGAGACAAGACACAAGATTTTAGGTTAGGCGCACGGAGCAGGTTTTCATATAGCTCAGGACGCTCCGTTGGGCCCACCGAGCTTCTGCGGCAAGCGACCCTCAACGAGGGTTGAGATCGCCATGATGAGCTTGGCTGGTGAAACACGCTCCCCAGCAATCCGGGTGGACCGGCAGACGGCGGTCCTGTTCAAACGCACCCTTCGGGGCGCGGCGCAGCGCAGAAGCCGACACGCGGTTCCGACCGACGCGGCCTGACGCGCGCCGTGGGTCGTCTTGACCTTCTCTTGACCAAGTGTGCAAGTGGACAAACTCATCGCCGTGGAAGCGAGGACGGGAAAACACTGCGAGAGAGAGGGTCCATCAATTGGGAGATGAAGGTGGGCCCTGGGGATCCACGGGCGAGGCCTGGCGGTTGCGTTGTGGGCCTGAGCGATCGGCCATCGACGGAGGCGCGCGTCACACAAGCCTCGCTCTCTTGGCGCGGCCGCTGGTGGCGGTGTCCATCTGCATCCGCGAGCTCGCCAAACACGCGAGCGTGCCAGCGAAGAAAACAAAACACAGGCTTCTCGCGCGACCCTTGAGCGCGCTTTCCTCTCCGTGTCCAGCGTCCCGCCGTCCTCGACATCGCCAGCCGTGATCCCGCCCTCCGCTGCCCCCATGCTGCTTGTCGTTGCGCCCCGTCGTCCATGCCGAGCCCCCGGAAAAGGCTGGCCTGATCTTGCTGGTTACGGCCATCAGTCGCACCCCAGAAGTCCCATGCGTGGTGGCAGAAAGGAGGATGCGGCACGCCCGTCCGCGAACCGGACGCGGCTATTCCGTTTTTTCCGGGGTATATCGATATCACCTGAGCCGTGGCCCCTAGCGAGCCGGCCCCAGGACACGCGCATTTGTCGACGACGGTCGATAACAGCGCCTCTTTCCCCCGCCCTTTCCCCAGTCTTCTCTCCACCGCCGCATCCGCCCAACCCCCTGTCACCATGTCCAAGCTCATCGCAGTCACTGGCGCGACCGGACAGTACGTTCCATCATCTTCTCTTGATGTTGTCGTCTGGCGTCGGTCGGAAGCTGCGCCCGCAGAAGCTGATCACCCCGTCGCAGGCAAGGCTCGTCCGTCGTCGACTTCCTCCTTAAAGAGCCGGAGACCTTCTCCGTCCGCGCGATCACACGCGATCCGACCTCCGAGGCGGCCCAGGCGCTCGCCCGTCGCGGGGTCGAGGTCGTCAAGGCCGACCTGTCCTCGCTGGACGAGACCGCGGCGGCGTTCCAGGGCGCGTGGGGCGTGTTCGGCGTAACCCAGTTCTACGTGCACGGCTTCGACGGCGAGCAGCTCCACGGGCGCAACATCGTCGACGGCGCGGTCCGCGCGGGCGTGAAGCACTCCGTCTGGAGCAGCGTCGAGGGCCGCGAGGGCGAGTGCGCCGCGATCTCCTGGCGCAGCAAGGCGCTCATCGAGGACCGCGTCATCGCGAGTGGCATCCCGTACACGTTTGTGTACATCCCCATGTACTACGGTGCGCGCCGACCGTCCCCGATCCGCGGGCGAGATTGCCGCGGAGATCGCGCAGGTGCTGACGATCTTCCCTTTGCTGCCGGCGGGACCTGCAGAGAACTTCTGGACGAGCTTCTTCGCGCCGAGCTACGACGAAGAAAAGGGCTTCAACTGGTCCGTTCCCTTCCTGCCTGACGTCCCGATCTTCGCGTTCAGCGTCAGCGACGTCGGCGGCCTCGTCGTCCCTGCTTTCCGCGAGCCCGAGAAGTACACCGGTACGCCCGATCTTCCTCCTCCCTCGCGCCTATCGATTGTGCGACGACGCCGACCGCGGTGCGACCCTGACAGGCGCCAAGATCAAGACCGTCGTCGACTACATCACCCTGCGCGACATCGCCACCCAGTTCTCAGAGGTGACGGGTGAGAAGGCGAGCCTCGCGCTCGAGCTCACGCCCGAGCAGTTCGAAGCCTCCCGCCACGCCGATCACCCCGCGGCGGAGCTCATGTACCTCTCCTGGGAGTACGTCAAGCGCTCCGGGCCCGACAGCGGCGTGCGGGTACGTGGTCTCGTCGGACGGGCCTCCGTGACGGTGCTGAACGCTCCGATTTCTCTTGCAGAGCAAGGAGCAGACGCTCTCGATCTACCCGCAGGCGAAGACGTACCGCGAGTGGGTCAAGGATAGCCCGCTGGTGAAGAACCTTGTGCAGAAGCTGAAGGCGGAGAAGAAGAGCGCTTAGGGTGGGGTCGGCAGCGTTTGGCGTTGACGACGGGATGAACGAGAATAGATTGTACAGTGAAATTTGGGTTTCGATGGATCATGGTATACCCATTTGCAGTTGAGTTCAACGCTTGCGCTATCTGTTCAGAAGACGTGCACTGCGTGATATAATCAGGCTATACCGACCGCTCACGCAAAGCGTTTTGACTCGTGTCGAGCAGTGCTGAACCTACTGAGCTAACGACTGCGTGTCGGGCCATCGCGTCGGCGAGTGAGGTAGCAGCACTTGGCTCTCTTGGAGCTCCTGCAGCTAGCACGCCAGAAAATCAGATTGGCATCTGTTGGGATGGCGGCAAGGAGCGGTAGAACAAGGGTTGTGGAGACGTTACATGATCCACGAAGTTGCCACGTCGATGCTACGCAATCGAATGCAGCAGAATCAGTTGAGGGCAAGCTTCGTCTCGCGCAGGTGGCAGCCTATGATCTCCCGACAGCGGCAGTGGCCCCTGGCACCAATCTAATCGTTAGGGCAACAGTAACCGAAGATGTGCCACTTGCGCCGTGGTGGCGCTGAGCCGCCAGGTCGAAGCTGAACGCTCGAGTGCGGCGCTGCAACAACCTGTAGCCTGGATGGGAACCCTTCGCCCGGCCTTGCAACCTGTATACGTCGTGTTCCGGACTGTGCTCAGAGATGCTAGGAAGTTGCATACACTCAGCTACACCATGGCAATGCTGTGACACTCACTGGCACGCGTCACCCTGCGGTTGTGCTGCGACTGGTGACGTGTCATCGCCAAGCATACCCCGCAGCGTTCCCGCATGTGGCGTTACAACCTGTGGTTCAGCAATAGCTGCGGCTGCCTGCTCAGCGCTCATGCTGCCGCTGATTGCGGCGACCTGCCATGGATGGTGGCACCGCCAGCCGTTTCAACCGGCGGAGGTTGGTAGCGATCTGATCTGACCAGTGTCTAGCGCTCGATGATTCTGTGGCTCAGCGCCGCTGCCGGCGGAGTCGTTCAGGCTCCCTCCGGACCGCAAGCCGCTATGTATGACAACCCCCAGCGACCGACCAGAGGCCATGAGGAGGGAGTCGGACGAACGACGGCAGGGCAGTGGTGAGCACTACAGAGCCTGTTTTGCCCAGGCCGCCACTTCTTCTCTGCCAGCAAAGGTATGTGTCCTGTGTAGCCGCCTAGTTGATTAACTTTACGCTGCAGCAGAGTCGAATATTACCAACCGGATGAGCTTACCGTACATAGTCTAGCGACGGTGTCGTTCGCTTGTTCGTCAGTATGTAGCGTACCGTGAGGCCTGGGAGCATGCTCTGTGCCTCTACACTTAAACTAGGCTGTGTGGGCATTGGCTACCAGCAAAGGTTTCTGAGGTCCGCTTCTAGCTATCAAGGAGGACTCGGAGAGGAACGCACTGGGTAACCGATCGGGACTGGTTTGAAATGCCCAATAGGATCCACGTCGAGGTCCTAAGTACGCATATATGGGTGTGCACAAACGGAGTAAAACAACTGCCGCATTGGCGTAGTGGTATGCGCGCCCCACTTGTACCGAGCTGATAAGCTTTGGGATATGGGGAGGTCACTCGTTCGACCCGGGTATGTGGCATGTTCCTTTTTTGCTGCTTTCCCTGGGCAAGAGTTAATTCAGGTTAACACAGTCCTGCCCACAAGTGTGGAAAGTCTTTATGAAGCCTGTTCACCCTGTTTCAAGTGGTTGTAACACTTGTTGCACTGAGTGAACATGATGCGTTCTCTTCGTCCAAGGACAGCGTTGTAGCTCTAGCGCCCATGAATGACCCGACTCCTTTGTTGCACAAAGCTCAGTCAATCGTCTCCGCCGAACTCCACGCTTGAGGAGCAAAGGGGGGATATAATAAAGGGGCCATTGCACTTACAAACGGCAGCAGTCTCATATAGTTTCGCGGCGAATATTCCCGACACTGCATCTACCCTTCCCTCCGACGCCTGTCAGGAGCCACCCAACCGACATACCCTCGAGACGCAGGCCGTCGTCCTCACGCCCGCCCTTCAGCGTCGGAATCTGCCCGAATGGCCGCTCCAATGGACACAAATGCTTTCGAGGACACACCGGGCTTGCCCACGCTCCTCCCGCCCTTCACGCTCGACGAGTGCCCAGGGGCATTCCAACGCTCGGTCGCTTCCGGTCGGCGCACGTCTTTATCTCAGCTGAACATCGCCTCTCTGTCGGTCCGGGATGGGGAGCTGCAGCCGATCATGGACGAAGACTCGGACGAGCACGAGCACGAGCACGCGCCGCTGGTCGAGAGCCCGGGCGCAAGGGGCGCGAAGCGAGGCAAGTCGCGGATGAGGCTCGAGATGCTCCTCCGCAAGTTTGCCCAGCGGAGGAGGACAAAGCACCCGAAGGCGTCGCCCACCCACGCCCACGCGGCCGCGCCCGACCTCGCAGAGGACCCGTTCGACGACTCGCATGGTATGGACATCGATGGCGAAGACGCGGTGGCGCCGTTCCGGGTCGGGTCCGACGCCGAGTCCATCGAGGAAGACGGCGCTGGGGTGGATGGAGCCGTCGGCGCCGACTGGCCTGCGGTCCCGAAGACACCGCGGCGGGCGAAGCGCACATCCCCGCCGACGACGCCCGGGAGGAGTCCGCGCAGCGCGAAGAGCGCGAGGAGCGTGATGAGCTGGCAGACCGGCGCGAGCTCGCCGCGCACGCCCAAGTCGACGCGCTCACGCGTGTCTGACGGCTCTCCCGGGAGCGGAGGGAGCAGCAGCGGAGGGAGCTCGTACCGGCGCCGCCTCCTCCGCAGGCGTACGCGCGATACTATGGCGTCCCAGCTCAAGTCCGTGCAGCTCCTTGGGGACGAGGCGGTGCCGGCAGTCGCGCGGGCGACGAACGTGAAGGAATCGAGGCTGCGCTACCGCCAGCTCGACAGGCAGCTCCGGGACCGTCGACGAACAGCGTTTTGAGGAGGTGTACGAAGTGGGCATGGACATCCATCGCGGCTTGCTGGTCAAGTTCCTAGGTTATCTGTATCAATTTGTCCGTCATTACATTAGTTGTGGATGCCGCTGCACCAAGCTATACTGTATCGTCGTGTCAATCGTTGGGTTAGCGGTCAATGCATGATTGCATCGTCTCTCAACTGCGCGGACAGCGAAGGCACCTCGTAGCCGTGAATTTAACTTCGCAGCTTGAAGGTCAAAGTCCGATTGAGGTGTACTCAGTTTCCCGGGTAGCAACCTAAAATTACGCACCTATGGAAGTTCGGACATGAACGTGGACGACGAATGTACTCAGGGATGACAGGAGATGGGACGTTGTTGGTTCTATTCAGGCCAACGGACGTCTAGACATGGCGCGGGCCTTGGTACACATTCAGAGTCAACACCACAGCTTCATACCAATGTTGTTATGATGTACAGAGTACATCGAAATGATAGGACTAGAGTTGCGTACACTGCACTCACCAACATTGCTAGAGCTGCCTGTCCTATCGGCGTGTCTTCTCCTGGACCAGTAGAGCTCCCTCGGCCTCCGTACATTGTTGGATAGGAAGACACCCAGTTGTGAGATTAACTTCATAGCGTTCATCCAGGTGAGTTCGAACATGTGAAAGCGATATAGATGGAGAAGTTCGATATGCACAGACGCGAGGTGAACGTCTTGACCAAGTCGTTACCTCGGGAGTCGACAGCCACCCGGCATCTCTGCGATCACCCGGCATGCTCAACTCCGCTGATCCGGAAGCTCCCAAGATCGTTGACCGTTATGGTGAGGGTATTTCGCTGCTGACGTCCATTGCTTGCACTCCGGATCCGGGCGTTGTCTGGAGAGGCTACAGCCTCTGCACACTCCTGCCATTGTTGGCGAGCACAAAGAAAGAATAAGCTACTCTCGAGAGGCCGTAAGGGCACTTATCACATCAAAGAACAACCGATAACACTTGGCTAACACAGCGCTGTTCATCACAAGCCCCGGCATCTCGGCAATGCAGGGGCTCCCGGGGGTTCTCAGCGGACGAGGGTCACAAGCATACAAAGCATACAAAGACGCTCATAACGTGCATCAGGATGGTCGCTGTCAGTGGCAAGAGGAAACACCTGCGCCTCTCACTGCAGCTTGCCCCGCACTGTGCCACACAACGGCGGGTCTGCCGCACGCATTACCCCATGTTTCAGACCTCTGACGCTCTCGAATATCGAATTTGATGACTTCATACAGGCGGTGAATAGACGAAGAGGGGCGTCTGCATTACGCAGTCCTAATCGGGGCTCTCGACCTCCCTGGACCTACAGCTGATACAAATGATCAGCTGGACGGTCGCCTCCCATGATCCCGTGCGGTCTTTCTCAGGCCACGGCTATTCTAGCTCTGCTCCAGAGGGGTCTTTCCGCGGCTTGTCTCGCGCATGCGCGCCCAGTAGGGAGACTATGTGGAGCGCACATTCCCGAGCGACTACATAACAGCGATCCGCCCGGTCCCTCACCGCACAAACACCCCCGCCCTCATTGCACCGTCCTCCTCGAGCGAGCCCGCGAGCAACTACCCATCTTCTCTTCCCGAGTTCCTTCGACATGTCTCCGCTCGCCAGGACTTCGCCGGCTTCTCTCCGTCTCGCGCTCAGGCGCGTCCCGAGGCAGACGCGGGGGTTCGGCCTCCACCCTCTGAAGGAGCACACGGCGCACACGGTAAGTCCCCCCGCATTACGACCACACAGGCCGCCCTTGCGCAACGAGGACTTATCGTGGCCTCCGTGCCTTCCAGAACATGCCGTTCACATACCACAACCAGAAGGCGTTCGCCGTGAAGTACGTCGGCGTCCTGGGCACGCTCTTCATGGTCCCCTTCATCGCCGCGGGCTATCAGCTGTGAGTGCCCCCCATCCGCCGCGCGAGACGAGTCACCGGAGCTGATCCAGAACGACGACGTCAGGCGCAAGTCTGGCGGTGCGGCTTGAACACATGATCTCGGATTACTGCGAATGTACATTACGACAGCGGCCGCGGGTCTGAACGACGGACAGTCTCTGCGGAGGGCCCCGGCTTAGGATGCGGATTCTCTCTTTGTATCATAGCATCATTCTCTTGCAACTCGAGTCGTATCTCCATTGCGGGTGTGCCGTTTGATTCGAGCAAATTAGCCGACTGTGGTTGGTCGAGGCCCAGGCGAGTGAGATCATGGACGTTCATTATGCGGATGCCCGAGATGGCTAGTGTGGTTCGGTGGTTCGGTGCGGTCCTCCGTTTCTCTTCCACGCGCTAGACTTGAACAAACATTTCTGCCCACCATGACTGTAAGTACTGACAGGTTGTCCGATATCGCACTGCAGTGGACTGTCGCTTGCTACGAAACATGCGGTCCGTCATACTCTGCGGGTGAGGCTTATCTGGCACGTTGTGTGTCTCGCGTGTTTACAGAAGCACCATCGGACCGCCCACAGCATGCACCGAAACAGGATCAACCGAGCAATGCACTCCCGTCTTGTTGCCATAGATGGGATTCCCGCTCTATGCTGTGCCTGAAGTTGGTCGGTCGGAGTGCCGGCATGTCGATGACCCTGGACGACCGTTGTGGGTGTCGTGAGTATACTCCGCTTTGTCCTAAACTTGATCTATATGTGAGCGCGTGAAGAACTACGACGAAGCGTGAAGCCGACGGGAGTTCATGGTGACTGCTCCTCTCATGTTGTGTAGTTGATTTCTTACTGACAACATACGTAACCTGAAGTACGCCGTGTCATCATATGTTTCATGCGTCTATCTCTGCGGCAAGTCAACAGTGAAGTGGTACACGCATGAGCACGGACTCGGGTGTCATGAGGGGGGATTTGACTGAAGTTGTACGCAGGCGCCATTTCGGAGAACGGGGCCGGACACACGCAGGTCGCTATACGGTACATAGAGACATGTTCCCGCACACTCGCCTCTTTCTTGCGCCCATCTACCACGGGGTCTCACCGACGAACTACTAGATGGTACGTTGACTATGTTTCGGTCCATGTTCATGCACAACGTTCAACCTGAGTCGTCGACTCCATGACAAACAGACTAGCAGCGCAACCTTCGAGGGCAATCGGTCCTCACCCAAACGTGGTCCCCCGCAAGCGCAATTGGGGACGCAGAAAGAGATATGCACATGACGTCTATTAACCCAAACAGACCAGCGATACCACGATGAAACCTGTCTCAAGTTGAGGGTCGCCCGGCTGTCACATCGGCATCACAAGATAGAGCAGCGGTCGCGCAGGGCATCCGGTTGCGCAGCGTCGCCTCCACACAGGTCGTCTCCTGCGCCGTCCTCGCCCATGCCGGACGACGACTGTTTTATCTCCCGTGTGCACAGCAGCGGAGACAACGTCCGGTGCTCGTTCGCCTCGATCCTCGGTCGGCAGCAGCGTGTGCCTGGCTTCGCACGAGGCACAACGGCATGATGATACATACACTTCCCCTGCGGTACACTCGCCCTGCTACTGTAGTAATCCCGAATCGCCTGTGGTCGGCTCAGTACGCTTCGCTCAGTGCGATCCTCTGTGACCTCTCTCCGACGCACGGGGCAGTATGAAGTCCGTCGTGTCGACCCCTTCTGCTCTTCGTGAGCTGCACGCCTCTCCCCCCGTCCAGGCG